TGAATGCCATTCCAACAGCAGTCTGGGACCCGTTCTGATGGATCTTTTTAAGCTCACCCTAGGACTGGGTGATCTGGAGATCCAGCAAAATTCAAAGTATCCTGTGCTATTTCTCCTGCTTCTCATAACTTACGTTGTGTTGACTTTTGTTCTTCTCTTGAACATGCTGATCGCATTAATGGGAGAAACAGTGGAAGATATTTCTAAAGAGAGCGAGCACATCTGGAAACTCCAGGTTTGTTTGTGAGTTAGTTTGCTTAGTGAAGTATAGACGCATTGGCTAAAATCTTTTGAGCTATGATACCTAAGGTACCTATGGTACCTTATCATGCTGACAGAAGGGGTTAGGTATGAACAATGATAATCCCCATTTGTATATGTGTACAAATAACGGAAAGAAGTAGTTTCAGTATTAGGGTATTGTAATAACTTCAGAATTAACAACTCTCCTAAAGGTAATCTTATGGCTCAGACTTTCAACCTCGTGCACTGTCACATACCTTTAGGACTTTCATTCTCCTTGATATGTCAGGAGGAAGGTGCGTTTCATTATCTGCCCAGAAATCTGTAACGCAGCATGCTCGGCTATTCCATCCCTTGAGTTTGAGCAATGCACGAGTTCATTCCAATTTCTCATACCTTATCCGAGCCTGGTCTTTTACCAAGGCTAGACAGCTCGGAGTCCCAAGCTGTCCTCGAGAACACACTCATAATTAGGATTGGAGTTGCTTTCTGTGGTGGGCAGCATCCCACTACAGGTTATACATATATCCCTGTGGCAGGGTGCTGCGTGAAGGTGTGTTAGCATTAAACCCTAAACGCTGAGTCTAGAGTGAGATTTCTTGGTTCTTCTCTGAGTATGCCTTCTGCAGTGGGGCTAATTAGAGAAAGCTGCGGACTCCCTGTTTGCACGTGCCAAATAATAAGTGCCATGCTATTTACTGTTGTTGGAATCGGTGTTGGTTATGGATGATGGATGGAGGCATGGCATGTTTTAATGAAACATGGAGCCCGCAAACTGTATATGCTAAGAAATCAGACAATTGTGAATATGGTTAACCATCCTTGTGTTACTATTTATTGTTAATAGAGAGCGAGAACTATTTTGGAATTTGAAAAATTCTTACCAAAATGTTTGAGGAAAAAATTCCAACTGGGAGAACGGTGTAAAGTGGCTGAAAATGACACCAGGGTGTGTTTAAGGTAAAGCAAAACTAGAATACTGTGCTATCAATTCTGCTCTGTATGCTTCTCCTCAAAAGCCTCTCTAAAATATTTCTACATCTCTGCAAATTATATTACGTGTACAAAAACCCAATTTGTTTTTTTTCAATTGTAACCAATTGTTTAAAAAAAGGGAAAAATGTATAGGTTTTTTATGTAGACAATTTATTGGTAAGAAAACAGATTTTCAACGTCATATGTTTTTAATGCACAAGTCTCAAGCCTGCTTGCCGTAAACGTACTTTGTCATAACCTCCTTTGAATGTTCGCTTAAAAGTAATCATATTTAAACTGATCGCTAACTGATGATTACCATATGAAAGAAAATATTACTATGCTATTTTATGAAAAATACTTAAATATTTAAGGTGGGTTTCAAGACTGTACTCATAATGTGTGAACTTATAAAGTAGTCAGTATTATTCTCATCTTCATATAGCAGGTAACACTGCAAAAGACGTTCAGCCTTTTAGTACTAGCAAAGCAGGTGCTGATGGTCAAGTATGACAATCCCAAGAAGGAATAAAGAAATAAAAGGGGAGGTGCAGCTGTGTAGCTGGGAGATAACGCATGCTAATAACACAACTTATATACAATATAAACAGGATTAATGAAGTGAAATGGACCGAGTGGAAAACACATGTTTCATTTATTAACGAAGATCCAGGGCCAACAGGTACTACAGAATTTTACAACACCGTATTTGTGAAATCATTCTTTTCTTAGAAATGCTTTGATACAGTTTTATACCTTTAAAAATATAAACTGTCATAATCTAGATATTCAACCACACTTTACTGCTAGGGGAACTCATGGCTAATATGGTAGGGGTGTTAAATTCTCTTTAAAGATTTGGAGAGAGGGTTGTTTACAAACTCTCATTATTTACACCTTGGCACTGAAACATGGTGGTTTTACCTTTTCTTTATTTTTCTCTAAGCAGTTGTGCTTGATCTAAGTTTTACATTCTCTTATGGCATTTGAATGGCATAAGGCCGGAGAACTTTTTAATAGACAGAAAAAGTTGCCATAAAGTACATTTAGTGCTTAAATAGTTACATACAGGATTGCAAAATTTGGCAAGAAATGGGACTGATTCTACCTGACAATACTATAGTCTGCTGTTTTTAACCCTGGAACATTCTGTTTATGTTTTGCGATATATATTGGATGACAAACTCGTGAATGTTGACCAGGAAATTCAAGACAACCCGTCTGCTGACAGTGTTGGAAGTGTAATAGAGAAATGACCTAACTCTGAGGTGTCAGATGTCCTTCTGGCAGCAGGCGTCAGAGTTTACCCTAGGGGCATGTGAGGATCTGGGGGACTTGTTCTGAAGTTTGTTGTCGTGAGACAATTAGCGTTTAGATTGCTTAGCAGAATGATCTCAGTAATAATTAAAAGGGGCAGACAGAAAAATTTCTGTATAAGATATGGTAGTAAACTGACAACTTGCTGTTTAAATAAATGCGTGGTTTTTTAACAGAAAATAGACGTGCAAAAATTTGATCTTGCATATACAGTTTCTACCATATCCTCTTTTGTTTATAATGCATTTTTTTTCAGATCCAAGCAAAGTTCAAGATAATTCAAGAACTAATAGCAAAAACACCCTGAATACGTTTGAAGAAATGGATGATTTGCCTGAAACTTCTGTTTAGTTGTGCTGTATCTGATATGCGGTCGTTCTGAAGGTTAAAAGCATCAGCAGTGGATGCTGAAAGCTTTGTTGGTATTTTGGACAGCTGGAACCAGCTGGAACACAAACTTTCAGTGACATGGTCTGACGACTTTGACCCATCTAATCAGGGCAGCTAAGCTAAAAGAAAATGGACTATTTCACTGGTTCAGTTTTGAGCCTCTTGAAAACCGTTGCTGTCCAAGTTTGTGTGACGCTACTCAAACTTGGCTCCAGACTTTTTACTGGATAAAAAAGGTCAAATGTGAGATATTTCTATCTTTTGTGGAAAATTGAGATCATTGTGATCCCAATCCGCTGTCTTTTGGAATCTCTTAAGTCATGAGAAACATTTTGTACACTGAAAAAAGTTAAGTTCTTGTCGTGGAGAAAAGAAAGGCATTTCAATTCTGAAGACTACTAAATGAAGTATGTTATTTTGAAATAGCAATGTTCTGGATATATTTGAAGCTTTTGTATTGACTGTCAGTGTTATTGGAGGCTTGATCCCACAAGTTGGAGAAAGCCTCTTCAGGTCTCATTAGATTTGCCTGTTCTGTTTTCCTGTATGTAATCCCTAGGGTATAATGTGGTGTTTACTGCTTTTTATTTATTACTATGTATATATGCCTTCCCACAAAATAATAGGGCAGAAACATAATTCATGATGGAGAATATCTCCAAGTTTGTTCCAGTCACAAGGTCTTCTCTCTTCCTCCTCAGCTTTTCCATGCTGTTGCGTCTTGCTGCATAAAAAGGAAGTTACCACATCAGAAGTTCTTTGAGTTTAAAAGTAAATTAATTTCTATATTCAACCACTTCAGGAAAATAAGTCGTCAGTATTTCTTCCCAAAATTAACAAAATAAGTTACATGCAGTGCAATTGCAGACTTTTAAAGCTTTTTTTTTTTAATTCGGAGGACTAGGTAATGCATTTCTGTAGCACTTTTTATTTCACTACCTGTGATGACCTAGTACTATGAATTATATTTTTAGTTTTCTATTTTATGTGTATGTATAAAAAGAAATATTTGTTCTATGTACTTTTAAATTTCAACTAATACATTATGTGTCTTCAGTGTCATGGATTTTCATCATATATATTCATTTGGTGCCTGTTTTAAAGGTGCTATTTAGGAAAGACTCAGGTGAATTCTGTTGTGCGTTTGGATGATAATATGAATTGCATTGGATTCTTACAGCTAAGCTTGCTGTGGGCAAAATGATCCAAAAGACTTAACACAGAAGAGAGCAGGAGGGAACTCTCCAGCGGAAAGGATAGTGCAAAGCTATTGGCAGGGATGGTGAACACGGTTCTCGCTACCCACCCGCTCTTCTATAGATGCCGTGCCCTGTGTTTCCTACCATGTATGGCCTGGATGGATGGGATCAGATTGAAATCTTCAATTCAGTTATGTTTTTACAGGGCACAGGAAGTTGAGGGGAAGGACATTTATGTGTATCAATAGACCAATGTAATATCTGAGCGTTGTTTGGCCGCCATAGGATATGTGAGTATGAGGAAAAAAAAAATTCCTGTGGTCTTGGAATCTTTCATCTTTGCTAGTTAATTTTGCATTGAAACTGTCAACAAAGAATATTGCCTTAGGACTATGCAGTTCCGTTTGGATTCTTCCGAGCACCAGTTTTTGTACCAAAAAAAAAACCAAACCTCTTCACATATGCTCAGGAACCAGAATCAACTAGCCTGCGCTGTACTCCGTGTCGCTATGGGTAGACTTGCCACTGGAAACAAGTTCAGGTATCTCTGCACTGTACTGAGGTCACTCTGTAGGTGTAGCCATAAAACAGGGAAGGCACAAAAAACCCGTAAGGAATGTGCTGTGCCAATGTCCGGGTACAAAACTATATGATAAAACTGAAGAAGCAGCTGGGGGGGTGTTTCTAAAAGTTCTTCGCTGAGAAAACACCCTCCTTTGGTGGCCACAGAGCCCTGCCAGATCACACATGCTGTCTCCTATCTCAAGGCTCTTATCAAGAACACTATGAATAATGACTAGAGCAGATAATTCTGTACTTTTTATACAACGTTTATTTAAATTAAAGAAATAAAACTTGTAATTCAATAAACATTCTGTCCTGTGTGTTTATTTTATTGCCATAGGAGTTACACAAAGCAAGGAAAAAAGGATTTTGGCTGAGTAGTAAATGAGGAAGACATCGCTTTTCAAAAGATATAATTTGGGGGTTATCCAGACAATGCATCTTTCAGTAAATAGCTAATTATTGTATCCTTATGCAAAGTTCTTAATGTTTTCTCTATCCCCAATTATTGTCCAAGATGTGAAAAACAACTTCAGAAAATTCATTAAATCCCAGTTTCTTCTCTTTTTCAGCTACTATGACAGGCTTTCTCTCTACAAATACAGAACAAGTGTCTCAAAATTCTGAGAAGTCTCCCCATATGGAATTCTTCTTAATTTCCATTCTGAAATACTCAGGTATGGTTTGTGCATTGCTCTTCATCAAAACCTGAGTAATTACCTAATCTTGCCTTCATCGAAAACTTTGGGGGTACAACAGCTGATTTAGATTTTATTTGGAAAATGTTATAAGCAGTAGGTGGACACACCTAGAAAGTTATAAAGCTATAAACTTCTCTTGTCTCCATTGCAACAGAAACTTTCTTCAGAAGTTTCCATGGGATAAGCACATCTTTTTCCTGAATTTGAATATTGCTCCAGTATGCTTCTGACTACTAGATACTTTCTAAATTCAAACTTTGTCTTTGAATTACTGTTAAATCAGAAACAGCTTAAATTAATCTTGTAGTACTTTAAATTTAAAAAAGCTTTACATTTCACTTTAGTGTGTTTTTTCTCAGAAATCGTATGTTTTTAGCTTATTTTATATCTTCATAAGTGTAAAAACAAAACAAACCCTAAGGCTTCCACTTCAGCGCAGTAGGGGTTAGTCACAAATGCAGATAATACAAAAGAATTTTAATATACATACCCTCTGTCTCTCTCTCCCTAGCTTTTCCTTTGTCTCGTATTTTGTATGTTTATCCGAGGAATTAGTTTCAAGGACCACCTCACTTAAACAAGTGTTGGTTATTGGAGGTTTGGGGTTATAAAGTAGAAATGCTGTAATTTTTGTATACGCTGTAGTTTTGTGGATGAGCATCTTTCTATATGACGCTGGTTATAAGTTTTATAGCCACTAACCCGTATGCGGTACATTGTTTAATCGTTTTATATAGCGTGAACTAACAAACTTCATAAAAATAGTATTTATTCTTTGCATCTATAGTAATGTATTAGAACAAGTAAACAATCATAATTAGCATGATGATAGTATGTTTCCTCTTAAAAGTGCTCAGCAATGTTAATTAAATTAAAATTTAAAATTAGATTCTGCATTTATTTATTCCATGAATTACTACTGAATGACACTGGATTTCAGAGAAGAAATCCACTTCTTGTATTGAAGATCTGTACTAAGCTTTTAAGAAGTGTTCTCGTCTAAGACTGAGGCTCTGATGTGTTTTGCAGTGAGTTTCATTTTTACTGTTTTTACAAAAGCTTGTTTCTTTTCATAATACGCAGCTTCGTTAATAAATGTTGGGTAGACTGTGCAGTCCCCTTTATATGCAATTACTTCTCCATCAAGAGTCAAAAATAGAGGATCACCATTGTTCAGTGGCTGCCAGTCTTGATCCTTAGAGAGAAAAAATAAATAGAATAGATTTACTTTCAAGTTTTTGTATATGTCATGTGATTTCTGAGTTTATGCTCAAAAATTATATTCTCTCCAGTTTACGGCAAAAGCTTTTAAAAGAATTCCTTTTAATTTTCAGTATGTAATTTCAGGTTTCTGGCCCTCGTTTTCAGGCTTGTATAGAATTCACTTGTAAAGGTGAACTAAAAGGAAACTGCACATGCTCACAATTGATTAAAAACAGACCCTCATCTTAGAATTCAAAATTAAGGTTGTATTTTAGAATATAAGCTATCCTACTGCCTTTTTTTTTTTTTCAGTTTTAGGTTCAAAAGTGATGTTAGATTCAGTGATTCTCAAGTCAGTTACTGAAATACTGTATGACCCTAGTGACAGAACTTACTACGGGGAAGGTCGAAAGTATTCAATAAACCCATTGGCAATATTGTCATTTTAAATATTTACTATTAAAATATACCACAATGTAGCAGAAGCAACACAGGAATACTTATAAAATGTCACAAATGGAAACTATTTTAGAATTTACCTGCAGTTTAGGGTGAATAATAGCAATAACTTCATCATTCTTATTCCTGGGATAATCTACTTTCTCCATTATTTTAAAAACCTCAATTGTACATGGTGGAAATTCCTTTCCTAGAAAGAATAAATGTAAATTAATGTCAGAATGAACAACTGCCTGTTAGAAAGAACAATGTATTATTTATTCTCTTTAGAATGGCTTAAATCATTAGGTTGTACCTCGTCAAAGTTTACACACTAGCAATTAGCTCATATATCGTAAAGATGTCTAGCTCCAGATTTTTTCTCCCCTCGAAGCCAAGCTGCAGAAAGATTGTCCAGTCATGTACTGTAGCATAGGAAGCCCAGATCTAAATTTGGTGCTGAAATGTGACTTTTCACTGTATACTTAAAAAGATGTATTTTGTAGATGAAGAAATCAATGAAGGCCTGTGTTTGAAAGTGCTGCACAACACAGAATGGTATCAGTGCTGTTCAATCTTTACCATTCCAGCACAGTAATGGAGATTCTGACATGCACAACTATATTCTTTTCCTTCTACTTCCAAAAAAAGCCCACTGACAAAATGTACTCTAAAAGAATTTGAAACACCTATTTTTGTCAGTATGTATTTCAGATAGTACACAGGTATAACAAACTCTTACAAAATTTGTTGACTTAAATTTTAGATAACAATGCATAGAAGGTATGTAAATTAAACACTTCTTTCGTGGTATTAATTTATGTATGTTCTCCATGTACATACTACTACACAAATATTGTTAGCTAGTATTTCAGATTTGCAAAGCAACTGTAAGATTAAGATCAAGTATACTTAGTGAATCTTCAGAAAGAGGAAATATCCTTAAAGCTACCCAAAGGAGCTATACAGGAATCCTGACTTTCTGATGCCACGCTTGGGTGGTCTAGAGAACAATCCTCCCCGTCCCACCTTTTCCCTGTTTAACTGTAAAATGTTGTAGCCCAACCTATTTTTTTTAAAAATATTCTCCCGAAATAGTCCACTGATACGACACGGGATGCTGTATTCTCTCTTACTCTACCTTCATTAAAAAGTTGTACAAAATCAAGGCCATGTTTGACAATCTTCCTCATTTTGTCCAAAGTATCAGCTCTAACAACGCCTTGTGGCTGGGGACCCACCTCCACACCTGTTTGCAGATGAGGGAGATTATTAATATAGCCATAATGTATCACATGCTTAGATTACACAGCAAAAACAGATGTCTGATTGGGTCTGTGGTTTATGTTTAAGAGGAATTGTAGAGTGTTACGTGATTTTTAAGGCAAGCAGAAAATTTAGCTCACCAGTCAGGATCAGTTTAAAGAACCATATATACGTTTTTGAGTGTGCTACCAGGGTAAGAGAAAGGGTCACTATATATATTTGTTTCTCTTAGCCTTTTCCTCATCCTGTCTTTCCATGCTGCATTTTAGAGAACTCATTGTTTAATATGAAAAGCAAACTAATGATTTTTTTTTCTACGGTTATGGTTTTGATTCCATAAATGAAAGTTAACCACTTCCATGCAGAGCATCATTTCCCCCCTTCCTTTATCACATCTTCTCTTTTCCTCTTCTTGGCTAACAACCAGCGTTTCAGCCAAGGCTTATTTAGAGGACATAAACATTTCTTTTCTGAAGCTGTTTACTTCTTCCTTATCCTCATATATTACATGTATTTTCTGCAAACAGTGAGTTAACTGAGTTTAAGAATTTCCATCTGGCTTCTGTATTTTGTAAGCCAACTATAAATCAGAACTCTTCAGAAGAAGAGATAATCATATACATTCGATTCGGTAAATATATTGTCAAACAAATAGCTACTGGTGATCAGAGCACTCTGTATAATGTAATGAAATGAACAGATCTGGAAACAGGCATATTTTAAAATAATTTATGGTGGGTTGAAATAGTCTTTATATTTCATATTTACCAACAGGATGTTTTGCTACGGAGCGAGTTGTTGCATATTTCAAGCTAGGATGTTCAATCAGCAAAACAGGACAGCGTTCTGGAGCCAAAGTGTTCTGTGGAGATTGTTTTAAAAATTTCTTTGTTATGCAAATATTTTAAAACGTTGTGCCACAAAAGATTACTGATGCAGAAGTGATTTACACAATGTCTTCAATATGTTGCCTTTATTTCACGGCCCTCAAAGAAGTAGGACATCTTTAGAAAACGTACAAAGCTGTATTTGTTGGTCTCCTTTCCAGTAACTCATGCCAGGCATGCTCCACTGAACTTTGCTGTCTCCTAATATAACTGAACACAGTTCTAGTCTTAAATTGCTAACAGAAAGAAAAATGTCCTCATCAGTGTTCCAAAACTTGGAATCAAAATACTGTAAAGCAGATTTCAAGTATTTTTTGTGTTAGACTTGGATTCTTTCATGGGGACATAGATTGTGAATTAAGCCTTATTTTAACCTTTTTTTGACATAGAAACCTATTTCAGGCCTCTTTCCTGATGTCTGCCTACCATTGCTCTTCATATAATTTTAGTCATAAGCTTTCTAGGTCTTCAGATATTTTATAAATATTTAAATGGGATGCATGTAATAAGAAAAAATCAAATGTTAAAATATACCTTGTTTCTAAGGAAAAAAAAAATTAAAATTCCACACTGTTGGCCTAACCTCGATTTCATCGGTCATTGTCAAGGTCACTAGTACTTCAGCCAGATTGCGCTTAAGCCAGCACTCTGCAAACCTCACCCTACCAATACTTATCAGCTTTGGCAACAGCAGAATCAAACAGCATCTAAAGACATATCACTATTCCTATAAATACTGGTGAAAGGAACATTTGTCATTACCTACTTCCATTATTTTCTCCATGTCTTTATTTCATAAAATTAATGTTTAACTATTTAGCATGTGTGACCCAAATTTATCCAAGTTCCTGACAGATCAGTGTGAAAGCAGATTAAATTACATTCATTTTCATAGATGTTATTCTAAGCATTCCTCTTTGCCCATCAGTCTGACTAACACTCATTTTAATACATGAAGATGATGAGTTCAAATCTGAATTATCTGATATTATAATCAAATTATTAATTAGCTCTGATTAAAAAAACATCCTACGAGTGATTAAATATTTTAAAGAGTTTTGCAGAATAAAAAATAGTATATTTAAAGAAACTACAAAATAATATATAGTAATACAACATTACAACTACTAATCTATTTTAATAGTTCATTTAAATTAATTTTACCTTGATATAATGAAACATTTGAATTGTAAAGTCATCCCTGGAGTTTTCAAGAATAAGGGTACCACCCATGTTAGAAGTGGTGTTGTGAAGGTCAAAAATAAGGTCACACGCATCATCACTACCTTTTGGACCAAATATATGATTGATTTCCTGAGCCCTTCTCACTTCATATGGAATATCTTCCACCACTGGCCTGCTGTTAATATCAGTACAAAGAAATTAGTAAACTCATTCCATGGCTTTACAGTCAACAAAATACGTATACCCTTTTCTTTTTACTTTAATTCCATAATTGACTGGAGTTGAAAGCACCTATTTAATTACCAAACTGGTAAAACTTAATGAATTTGTGCTTGAAAAAAGCAAGTATGACTGTTAAACGTGTCTTACTATTATGTATCTTGTGCAGAAGGGTAGTAAGAATTTTTCAATCTGATTTTAGCTGGAGACTATTTACTTCTCTCTTATTTCTTTACATTCCAAAATTTCCCCCTATGCAGAAAACTAACTCAAAATTTATCAACAACTTAAACCACTTCCAAGACTGGATCCACCTCCTACTGAAGACGGTATTCGGATATCGGTCCATGCCCTTTTACCTTGGACATCAGTCACAAGGTCTTTTGTAACTTGCTTTACTTCTTGTCTTCTCATATTCTGATCAGACTTTTACAGTCTGTTGTTTTGAGCCCTCCTGACCCTCACAGCTCACAGAAGATTTTGCTACCTCAAATCTATTCCTCCAAAGTTTTAATACTTGTAATCTCAGGTGACTATGTCTGTACTACACTTTTAAAAAATGGTCTTAGCCTAAGGAAAGGTCTGAGATCTGCTTCCTTTCTGTATAAGGGCTCTATAGGAAACTGATGTATGACACAAAGACATCTGTCTTGCATATTAACAGTGTACAAAGCTGCTGTAGGTTCAGACTTGTTCCACATAGACAGCAAATCTGGTTTTGATGACAGGCTTGGGATACTACCTATAGTATCCCAAGTACAATATAGTATCCCAAGTACAATATAGACACACCTAATATCTTCTGCGCTAAATTCAGTTTTCTTTCTCAATATAGCTCAAGCTTTGTAATATTTTAAATTTGTAAGAAATGCTGGTATTAAGTTGCATAAAGAAAGTTTTGTTAAATACTAACAAAACACCTTACTAACTGCACGGATATTTAAGCATCAGAAGAGGTTGCTGAGGAAAATTATGGGATCACCATTGCTGGAGCATTAGAAATGGCAAGACATAATCTATTAGGAATGTCTACATGCAGTTGATCTTCTGGTGGGATGTGAGGTGGATTAGAATTTTTACGTGAGCCCCTCAAGCTCCTTTTTCTATTTTTATGATTCTGTATATCACATAATCTACCTTTGTATTCTTTAGTTCTGTCTCTGAAATTCAAGGTTTCTTCACATAAGACTGTTAAATTAATATTTCTTATTGAAGCCAATGGGACTTCCACCATTACTTTCAGCAGTATCAGGATTTCATGCTCCTTTTCTTATTTTGTAAAATCGTTTGTAATCCTGAAGGGTCTACACTCAAAGGGATCAGGTGAAGGTATTCCAAACAGTCAGTAGTGTTGTAACAGGACTGGGCAACTTAATAGGATCTACTGAGGAATATTAGTTAAAAAATTAAGACAACCTGCAGGTGTCTTAACCTGCTATTTTTTCAGGTGTTCTATGTTCAAAGCAGCTGAAAACAAACAAAACCACTTTTTTTTTCATGTTTGTCCTAAGTAAGCAATTAAAAGAATAGCCTCAACACTTACGTGTTAAAATGTCTGTTTATCTTATATATAATAATCCACAACAAAATTCTAAGATGAAAAGCCAGATGAAAAGATGTGCAGGGTAAGAATAACCATGCTTACAAAATGTATGTGATACGTATTTTTTCCAGTGATATTCACCCTTACCATTAAGACCTTTCTGAAACATAATTACCTGTTTAGCATGTAACTATACTGAGCATAAGAATGTTTATACAGCAAAGTACACCTCTGGAACAGATGTCTCAGAAGCAGAGAAACATAAAATCCCATTAAAAATGTAAAATCAATTACTATTTTACAGTAATTATAGATTGTATTTCTTCTAAAATAATTAAATTATTGAGACTTTTTGGCTATCATTTTGCCATAGAATACATTTCTAACTTAGCTAATTTCAAGTTTTCATCTTTTACTGTATATAACTGAAATTAAATACACTTCCATGATTTGTATGCCATTCTTTCAGATACTCAGATGTCTATCTTTAAATTGCTTTTATCTGCTATCTTCCTGCAAATATAATTGTATTCAGAATAGCTCCAAAGCTGAATGCACAAGAAGACGTGAGAAATAATGACTTTGCGACTCAGAAGAGCAATACTTAAGTTTACACAAATACAGCTAATCTAATACTAATTTAAAATGCAGTGTTTAAGATTATGTGTTGGTTTGAGACTCATCCTACTAGCAATAGTTTTAAAATGAATCTGTTAATACTCATGCAATTTGTTCTTTTTGGGTTAAAGGTCAGTAATTTCAGTTACGTGACTGCACAGTTAAAATAGTAGTGGAACTTGTGTTAACATTTTAATCTGGAAAGGAAGTTCCTTACAATTCGAAAAAACAGAAAAGTAAACAGAAAGTACAACTATTCTTACCCAAGATTATCAGGGTCAAAAACACGGTTCAGATCACAGTCAATGTATCTAGTACACTTCTTCACAGCTCTTGGGTTGGTAAGAAATGGTTTCACTTCCATTCCTGTTCTTTGAATCTCAGCTCCATTCTCTTGCCAGTGCTTGACCAAAAGTACCCCTGATAACTCATTGCCATGAGTTCCCCCGAAGATAGCAACCCGTCTTACCGGAGGTTTATCAACAACAGAAGAGGAAGTCATGCTTTTCAGCAGCTCTAAGAATTGCTGAAAGCAAAACAGAAAATAATGATAAAGTAAAACTTCTGTCTCAAAAAAAAAAAAAATCTTTTTACTCTTTTAAATAGGAAATTCTTTAAGCCTGTTTAGGTCAGATGTGAATGAAAGTGAATTAACATTTGTCTAAGAGTTTTAGACTCCTGTTGCGAGGCGGGGAGTTGCTAACCTGACACTCCTCCCTCCCCAGGAGCCCTCCCCTTCATTTACCATATTTAGTACTATCTCCAAGTCTGTTAATGGTACTGTTACACAGTTCAAAAGTTAACTTCTCCAGGCAATCTCTATTAATATATGATATATAGGTAAATCTTGTACTAATGACAGTATGAAAAGCCTTTTTAAATGTAAACTTTAATAATGCACTTAAATATCTCTGACATTTTTGCATTGCAAACTAGGCGTAACAAGTATACTCATGTCTGTTTGAAGTTACATAAAGATTACAGTATACAAGGGCAGAATGATTTAAAGTGAGCAAAAACAGTAAAATATGAATCATATCTTGGCTCTAGATCAACACATAATGCTGAAACATCAAGTACTTTCATCTAAAAAAACAAGAACAGCTGAGTTCCTCAAAGCATGTTGTTACTTGTATGACCTTTTTTGTTTTACAATATTTGAAGAACAGTGATTAGAAGGACCACTAGCTGAAATTAAAGTGCAATTTATCCACGACTGACTTGCCTAGTATTCCTGGCTCTAGTTCTATCTCAGGATCTGCTAACACAGACCTCTAACACATTGAAACAACTCTGCCAGTGACGACCCTTCTAACTTCTGCAATCTCTTATTAAAAAGGAAACAGATATAGACCACAATGGGACAATAGTTGTGTTCTCCCCCAGAAAAAACCTTAGTCAACAACTTGACTACTTCCATTTCCAAAAGCATTCAGACAGGCTTCTGAAACTTAAGCCAAAGAGCAGCCATAACTTCCATCATGAGGATCAAAACATTTAGAATAAAAGGTGTTAATAACAGAAAATAAGTTTTACTGCTGTAAATGACAGAAGTATTTGCAATTAGTATCCCGACACGTGACAGAAATGTAAAAAATGTTACATTGCAAGGGAATAAAGAATGTTTATTGAACAATTCCTTTTTATTAAGACTATACTCCGGTGACTGAGAGAGTATTTGGCTTCTGCCTGGGAGAGGCTTTATGACCCAGGCTGATAGACTGTAGGTCTACGAAAAGAAAGCTAAACATAGGACTTATCTAGACAAGTTCTGCCACGAATATATTTCCTGCAAAAGTTGCTCCCTATGTTTCAGCTTATGCATACAGATTTGCTGAACCTCACAGCGAGTTAATACAGAGAGGCTGTTTACTGAAACACTCGACTGTATTACTCCTATACTTAGAAGCTGTCAGCTATTTAATCATAGTAAGTAATTTATTAAACAAAGCAGTAAAGTTGTATTTTACAGCACTGGACAGTCTGTACTGTCCTTTGACCCCAGTCTCTTTAGCGGTGGTGCCAAAACGGCTATTTACACGCTGCCTGAAAAAATGACTCACACTCTGAATCTTGGTTTGCTGAATTTAAACACCACAGAAGTTTCAAGAGTAAATGGCAAAATGCAAACATGCAGTGCTAGTACGTATAGTTTATCTTTTATTGCTGGTAGTACTGCAATGGTTGTAATTCCTTGCAAAACGCTGAATGAAATACAGAGATCGTTTGTGCACTTACCTCTTTTAACATGCAAGAAGTTTGTCTCCTAAGAAGAGCTTTCTTAGGACAGTTACAGTGCATTTCCAAACATGAGTTTAGGAACTAAAGCCATGGAGGCTTCTTTTATACCCTTAGAGCACGTTAACTTCCAAGCAGCTTTTAACTCCTGGTCTCCCGGGACGTTACAAGCACCCGCGAATTTGTGGCATAAATGCAGACCCTTGAAAAGCTTTCACTCTTCTGAACTAAACACCGGGACCAATCCCTTATTCCTGTGCTTTGCCAATACTTACACTTTGAAAAAATATGGAGAATCATATTTAGTTTATTAAGAATTCAGATTGTTTTTATGTACTACACACAAACACCTGGCAGTGCATCTGAAAGCTTAGAATGCGTGCCACGAGCTGAAAGACATACGCAGTAATAAAACGTAAATGAAATGAAGTCTAGCTATCAAAGCCACGAAGGTATGTATGTAAGAAGCGTAATGTGGCTCACCAAAGCCTTCCAAGGCACGGGCTGAAGCAAACATTGGGGTTACAAAAAAAGGACAGGCTCCAACCCTGCTGAGCGCTAAGATTTTACACAGGAACCAGTCAGAAGTTACACAGTTGAAAACAACCACGTGTAACACCCGGAATAGTGGCTGAAGACAAAAACAGCGTGCAGAACGCAGAGAGTGTTATTTATATCCATGTTTGTGTTCACACATTGGTGGGTATCCAGCTCCTGCCCCAGGTTCTCCAAGTGCTGAACATGACACCGCGTGGGCCAGTTCCAGGGGTATGGAGATAATTAATTAAATCCTACAGAAGACCAACTTAATCGTTCCTGCGAGCTGCCCTCCCTGCCTTTTTTTTTCAGACGGCTTCCCACCACGCCGGGCCCGGGGCAAGGACCGCGGCTCCGCGGCGCCAGGCGCCCCCTCACTGAGGGCCTCCCGCGGCCAACGGCGCCTGCGCCAGCACCAGCGGCGCTTGCTCTGCCGCCTTTGAAAGGAGAGCGCGGTCGGCCCCTTCCCGCCCTTTTCTCAGTCAGGCGCGAGAGCGTGGCCGTTTCGTCCGTTATTTTTGGCGGGCTTCACCTCAGCCCTTTCCTTCAGACTCCGGGAAGGACTTCAGACTCCTTTTTTAGCCTGTGACTGGTACTGCTGTTGTGTGAAGTACTGCGGAGGCTTACCCTGGTATCTCCTGCTCTCCATCCTTAGCTTACTTTTTTCTACAGCTTTAGCTCTGGGTTTTGGTTGCTTATCTTCAAGAGAGGACAGAAAGCAAGACAATACAGTCTAAAATCCTGTGCAACACCAAAATGGGCTTCATAAACAGAAGTGTTGAGTTTATGGGGTTTCATTTTACAAGTATGTCGCTTACTGGTGGCCGTTCGGCTTCTTAGTGCTAGCAATACATTTTAAATTGTGTAACAGCAATGAACTAGAAGCTGCTTTAACGTCACACGTGTAATCGATGTATCTCACAGAAATAAAGAGTAAATTGATCTGTTAGTCTAGCTGCGCTAGATACTTGTGCTTCATTCTTATCAACATCTTTAATAGCTGCATATGGTTAACTGCCAGATCAAAATAAATGTAATGTCTCATATTATTTGTACACACAAATATGCAGTATTATTCATATGCCACTAAAGGCAATATGCACCAGTAACTAACTTTGACAGAATAGCAACTAATGCTACACAACAGTCTGTGTAGTATCCTCGATGCATACAGTAATACATAGACATTTACTATAGAAGTAGATTAATCAGAAAACAAATATGGCAAACTACCTATACCTAATATGCTAATGCATACTTTTTCTGTTCATAATATTTGGCTGATAATAATGGTCTTTTTGGCTTGTGAAGTATTTTATATGTGAGGAAATAGGCTAAAGGTTTTAGGTCTGTACCATAAAGTACAGAAAAGAAGTTTATTCTTGGAGCATGACGCTATTTTTCACAGAATAGTCAAATTTTTATTTTTTTTTTTTTACTTAAAGCCATGTACCTTGCCATCACACTTTGCAGCAAAGTATAGCTATGCATTTTCTATTTGTATTCTGTTTCCAGGAGTTAAAAAATATTCCTTGTATTTGAATGTATATGTACTTTTAAATTCAGAAATGAATTCAGTATTTTTACAGCATTTTAAAAGAGAATACAACTTTTACTTCAAAAATATAATCGTTTGGGCCCTTAATCTGCAAAGAGCGATTGCATGTCACTTGTGTACCCGTGGATCTTCTAAATTCAGTACAGCTGCTCACACGTTTTAGGCTTGTGTCTTAAGTGATGCATGTCACTGGGTGTACAGAGAGTTAAGAGAAACTGCCATAAAATCACATAAAATTTGGATGTGTTTACAACATGAATTACTTTACTTTGTCTGCTTATCTAACTTCCATACAGCAAATTTGGAGTAATCAATACATTGTTGCCTATTAAGATACAGCAAAGAAATGAAAAGGAGTCTAGCTGACACTTCAACTCGCAGCACAGCAGGTACCACCCATTCTTTTGTGCTTTATCATATATACCTCATTATGCATATATATATATATATATACACACACAGAGACACACGTGCAGTATTCATACAGGATATACACCATTCAGTCCTAGACCCCCATTTCCTGAGTGCACTTGCATGGGTTATCTGTTTTATTGCAGCACAGGGCAAGATTTTGAGTGGAGTCAGGGGACCGGTCACTAAGGGAAATGTTTCATTCACAGGATTATGTGCAGGACAGAGGGCTGGGAATATGAATTATGGCTGGTCTGTTATGTGTTTATGAAATGTAATTCCTATGAGTGATGTAAAATAATTATTAAGTAATTTTATTTACATATTTTAAGTGTTGATTGTGTATCCTTTTGTTATTGGTATAGTAGTATTACTTGAATTTTAATTTTAGGTTGTCTGCCTGTACCTCTGTTCAATCAGAAGAAAAGAAATAGACAGCCCCTCACTTCAAATCCACTTAAAAATGAGCCGGGTACCAGTTCTGGGACTCGTACTTACGACTTTTCTCCCACATCATTTGGTAAATAAGATATATTTTATTTTTTTAATGGCTCTAAATCCAAATAAACCTTAACCTTATGATTCTATTTTATTAAATTAGACATTGTCTTTACCAAGAACTATATGCATCCTTTATGTTTATTTCTGAAAAGTTCATTATGTAAAAAATGTCCTCCAGGAAATTTCTTTCTCCTCTATACAATTGAGCTTTTTATACTTTGTGCCTAGAGGGAGTTTGACTCTTTGTGTGTTAGAGAATGAAGTAGCACTGGCATTTAAATAGAGTCTCTTGAAACTCTGACCTTTTGTTTTCAGTTGATTTCAATCAACATTCAAGTCCTGTGTTACAAGAAGAAACATTTAATAAGATGTCTTTCTTGTAATTCAGAAGAGAACTTCTGTTCTTCAAATTCTGCTTGGAAAGAATGATGCAGAATTCTGCCTTTAGTACTTTCTTTAT